GGTTGACGGAAACTCGGGGACTGCGCCTACCTGATGAGCCCCAAGAAGGGCGAAACCGGTCGTGGGCTGTCAAAGAGTTTTCAGCAACCTTGTGAGTAGTTTCCTTATGAGTAGTACATTGCAAATATCTAGAAATATTGAATATCGTCCCGAATTATAAGGCGGCCTTTTTGTACCCAATTTGGTTGGAAGATGTTGCACATCTAGTTGTTTAGTGAATTCTTCCGTTAACGCAGGTTGATTTGTAAACAATTATATAAGGTAATTGAGTTTTCAACACATCCAGCCACTGATGGAAAGCCGCGATTCCGCTCCTCTAAGGTACCGCTCCTCTAAGGCACACGATCTGATTCCGACTATCCATAGTGCGATCGANGTAGCAGTTCAGCAGGAAGCATGACAATCCATCATCTTCGGAGAACTATCATAGCTTAGCGGTATCGGCCTGAACTTGCTCACCTATTCTGTGCGACGAACCAACATAGTTATGGTTACGAGCATGTTCCAGCGACAGGGTTGTTTGACCTCATCCTTAGAAGGCTGATTGAACACAAAGACAGGTAGGTTCATTAAATAGACAAGATGGGTCTCACCCCGCAGGAGAATACTCGATCACATATTCGCAAAATTCTGCAACAAGAATCTAACATCCAACAGCAACGATGGGCGTCTTTCTCTTCTTGAAAGCTGAATTCGGTTTTGTTTAACGCTGGATGCTATGGCAGTGTCCCTCATAAATTCTCCGCGCTCCGTAAAGCGCTATATGCCTACTTCCACGGACGTGCAAAGGCCTACAATAAACTCTCGCCTGAGCTCACTACGTCAAGTGGTGTGGGGTAAGACTGCCCTCTTTCACGCTTTCTGTTCAAATTCGTCATCGAGATCATTTTGGAAGACTCGCTCCCAGCCTCTAGTGTCTGTTTGTCAAAATGCCCTTGGGATATTCGCTGATAGACGTTAAGTACGCACACGACGTAGCTCTTCTTGGATCTGGCGCCATTGTAATACAGACAACACTAAATAATCTTACTAATTCCGCCTAATAATTTGGCATGCGCTCCACACTGGTGTGGGAGCGGGCGGGTTCCAACCCGAAACTCATGCTTGCGGATCAACCGATTGAGGTGGTGGATAAATTCATCTACTAGGGTAGCTGTTTTAGTCCTGGTGATGTATCTGAGGACGATATTTTCATCCGGATGAGGAAGACTAGAGCAGCTTCCTGGAACCTGCTTAGGCATGACATCAGCTTATCCGTTTAGGGTGGAGTTTAGAATGCTGCGGTGTACTTCATATTGTTACAGGGGTCAGAAACTTATCCATCGTGAATTGAGGGTGTTGAGAAGCTTTCCGTATTTGACTATTTGTGTCTTCGGAACATCCCTCGAGTATGTGGAAACATTGGATCAGTAATGCTGACGTACGTCAAGTGGTTTCCGAAAGAAATTTAATCGCCCACGACAGATTAACTGATCATATTCCAGGAGTTGCACTGACCTAGTCACATGCTGCATGTGTCAGTCAACCGTCTTCCTCGGGGAGCCCTTTTCGCACAACCAAACGGAGGTTGGTAACGAGCCGGGGGAGACCGAACAGTGATTTAGCAGCAAAATATATAAACCATTACCAGCCGCGCGGATGGTAGCTGTAAACCACCGCACCACATGTGCGCGACTTGCAGCTGAAGATGATAATGACGATGATCCACTGATGCATGTCATGGGCAAGGTTGGTGAAGGTTGTTGGAGGTACATACCGATATGCTGATGCCATGCAGCGACTGGCGATGTTGTGCCTCTGTTCTTGTTTCTAACCGTTAGTCCGCTGTTCTTGCATTCTTTATTTGTTTTTATCTATTGCTTTCTATCTTGCGCTATCTGCTACCATAAGCTGCGGCGACCCAAACCATCGTATGTCTTTGCGTACGCGATTGACCGTCGTTAAAATGAACTAAAATAACTTATCCACTACGCGTAATTCGAATCCGATTGCTCTGTCCTCAACTGATTTCCTGCATTTTATTTAATATCGAAATAGGTCACCCTAGGTAGGATCGTCACAAAAGAGAAAGTCCCACATACACCATAAATGTTTATAAGTATTTGTCGTGCTACAATTGCATTTGGAGAACAAAGTACCTTTCTTGGCGCTTGGTTTTAGTCAGGTTTTAGTTGTCTGTTGACTGTGGTTACAGGATTACAAGTCGTCCTCTAGCCGACAGATTTCTTCGAATGGCGTGTCCTAGAATTCGGTAGGTGAAAATGCATTACTAGACTTTCTTCGCTTAATAGCTCGATTAAACCGATGTTACTTATGTTCTTGTGCTAAGCTTCCCCGAGAGTTACTTGCAACTCACTTGTATCCTCTCTCCTTGCTAGCAACCCGTGGTCTGGTCAACATGGGTAACACGTGTTTTCTGAACGTGGTCATTCAGGCACTTACACACACCCCCGTCCTGCGCGATTATCTTCTTGCTGATCTACACCGGTGCAATAATCCCGCTCGATCTCGCAGCTGTCTGGCTTGTGAAATGATCCGCGTCACACAAGAAGTGAGTACCTCTCCTCTCCAATACATTGGATTTGCCGTAAGCCACGTCTTGTTCAAGAAGTTGTGCATTCGTTTGTTTTCTCTCTTCAGATATACAGCCCCGTGGTCACCCCATTCGTCCCCAGCAATTTGTTGTACGCTATCTGGCTACATGCAAGTCACTTGGCCGGATACGAACAACGCGATGCGCACGAATTTCTCATCACCCTATTGACTCTGATCCATGGGCATCTGATAGGCGAACACGTTCCACTTGGAGGTAGGTTTAACTCTGTTGAAAGTTCCTCATGAACAGATTGGTTTGGGCTGCGAATCATCCACCGTTATTTGCTTCTGAATGAGATCGGGTCAATTAATTTTTTCGTTGTTGCACGATGCAAAAGTGTAGTATAGAAGTTGGATAGAAAAAAGAGTGATTTCCTTTGTGGTGTGCTCTATTTTCTCACAGAAATGGTGGCTTAAGAGATTTGTGCGCAAAGCTGGTTTGTAGGTTGTGAATGGCTCATCAGCCAACTAGAAGTGCAATCCTTATTCACAAGATTAATTCCTTATCGCATTCACTTGTCGCATTGTTGATGGCTGAGCTGGGCAAGCTTGTTGCAAACATCTCCTCGCCGACCGAGGTGACGTCAACAACCTACACAACGGTCTACACAGCTCCCCATCTATGTACAGTTGACGTCACCTCCATTGGTGATGAAACTGTTGCAAATGAATTAACAGGCTTAGCGAACAAATCGGCAATCAGCTACACCACCTGAGCTCTTAATATTCTCCTCTAACAAGAACGGCCCGATTAGGACATTGTCAAATTCGGAGTACTATTGCAAAAATCTACGCAGGTTTCCGAGCTAAGGTTCCTGGAGCTCATTAAATGACCGTATTTACTATTGTCGGGGCCAACTAAGCTTAAAGAGTGAAATGATGCCTAATGGCTCACATGAGGTCTTCTGGCGAAACAGTGGATCTTCTGCGAATCCAACAAACAGGGTGTTAGTGGAAAAACCACAGAATAATGACTTCGAAATGCCTGATCGACTGAGCTATGCGATGTAGACTGTCGGAATGAGTCATTCTAACTAGTAACAGCGCCCGCATTAGCCCGCTTGTCTTTGTTTCGTTTTCGAGCAACTCATTAGTCGTGCTTCAGCTGACGTCAACCTGTTTTTTTTCGATTCAAATACGACTCATCCCATTTGGTGGACTATTACGCTTCGCTTAGCCACTCTTCTTGCAAGGACAGCAACCGGGATTACTCATCTTACAAAGATTGAATACGGTGGTTCGCTGTCTGATCATACAACAACCTTGCTACTTGAACTCCTAATCTCTTGCAGTTGCGTCTATCTATGGTCCGTTAGTCTAAATCTGACTTAACATACCCCAGTTGATCGTTTCCTTTCCTTCTATCCTGTAAGTGAAAAGCTAAAATTTATTGTACAGCCGTCTCGTCAGTAGTACACATCTCACGAATTTCTAAGTAGATTCTGACTCGTAACCTTTTCGTCAGCAGCGGAACATCGTTGACCATGAGTTACTGCTGGACAGTGTGATGAACCCACACACTAAATTCACTGCGTTGTCCGGTGCTGAACAGTCTCCCGATGGGAGACCCATGCCACCTGCTGGATTTTTCCCTTTCTGTGCAACTTATGTTGCATGCAGAGGTGAGATTTAGACGGTCCAACGAAACCTTCATCCTCTTTTCTCTCCGCTACCTACAAACCATAAATAATCTGCTCAGAAAAGAAAGAATCCCTTCCTTGCCTTCTGTCGGAGAAATCTTCACTTGATCATCATCATCATCATCATCATCATCATCGACAGCATATAACATAAGTCTTCGACACTGATGCTTTGCTGCCGTACAACAATGGTTTATTTGAAAGCCCTACTGCGAAGAAAGAAATAGAAGTGGACAGGGAATGAATTTAGTTCTACCCTAACAATCTTTCCGAGGCGTTCAGACCAGGCACACATTTAGGTAATCTGGATGGAAAGTGACAACAAGAACGCCATTGACACCGACTATCAGCGTCTACAACCAGACGCAGTGAAGGTCACGCGGTTCCCATCCTGGAAGGCGAATTGCAGCGACATTGCCCAGACTTTCCGTAGTCTTATAATTCCGTCAGGTCAAAGGTTGACCACTCTGCTTTCATCGCTCTGAATCTGGCACGGAAAACCTCACTCTCTTCGGGAAACGACGTTCCCGCAAGCATAATACACAGTCCAGCCATCGAAACTTCTGGTAATGGACACATTCTTTGATCTAAGTCCCTGTCGCACAACCAAACTCTCGCCTCTACTTGCCTCCTTACGGACTTGCCGATGCCAGCCTACGTGACCAGTCGTTCTGAGAAAGCGTTGTTAAAAAACCTGGACGCATCTCCGTTTCACTACCCGAAGAACTCGTATTTTGCAGCAAAGTACATGTCAAAGGACTAGATGATTTTTGCCAGTATATTTAAAACCACCTGCGCCTTTTTTGCGAACACGTTAGCGAGGTCGTCCGCAAATTCCAAATCAACGGGGTTTTCGTCAGCAGCTATCGAAACACCAAGATTTTGAAGACCTTCCAGCGTTCGACTCACCATCTCGCCCGTCGTGAAATTAAATGAGAATGAAGAGAATGGGTACATTCGATGGACACTACTTTGTGGAAGCTTTGAGAGCTCTATGTTGTGGTATCACACGCCCCAAAGTCTAAGAAAGAAAGGACTTATTATGTTCGCAAACTTCCGGGTTATTCCTTTCTATGCAAGCATATCAAGGAGAACAGACCGGTTAACCGAGTCCAGTGCGCCTTGGACTTCTAGGAACACTGAGATTGTGGGCCGTTTATACGTATGGCGTTGCTTTAGCGCTTAATGGAGTGTGAGGATTTGGTCAACGGAACTGCTGCAGGGCCGCTGCTGCTCTCGTGTCATTATTTAGCGAACCACCGTAAGGCGACGAATGACATTTATGTCTAGGGTCTCGTTACGACTGGTCAAGCTAATCCCCGTTTTAAAAAAAGTGCGTATTATCACCGATCTCCTCAGTTTTCTGAGACGGTCTGCTTTTCCCAGATGCAGGAAAATAGATCAGACAAGCGCTGACTAAGGACTTCACCCCCATCTTCTAATAATGCAGGTGGGAGGTCATCCAGTCCAGGAGTTCGGTGGCGCTTGAGAGAACATATTCAGTCATAAACCTCCGAGGACGTAAGGGGTTCCAAGTTCACATTCTAGGGTTCCGCTTCAGCTATAGGATCCAAATAAGTGGCAGCGGTTGGTCACAAGAATTATTGTTGGAAGCATTTGACCCGGCGGTCGAGGCGTTCTTTATTCAAGATGGGGGCGCCACTTTGATCCTTGATGGTTTGCTCACAAGTGGATTCCGTGGACCGGTCGCACGGATAAATTGAAACAATGTTCGGGCATTCCCGGACTTCTGAGCCTCTATCATTTTCTTGGCTTTCCGTGTCCACCAGTCTTCACGGTCGGCTCGCACATTCACTTCCACTTGAAGTCTGATAGTTCATTGGGCCAAATTATGTTCGTACCAGCAGGGGCATTTCTCCGAGATTCAAACGGTGTCACTGTTCGGTCTGATTTTCAGTTCTTGACTTGGCGTGGTAGCCCCGTGGCACTGGCAAAACTCCCAGCACTGTACAAAGATGAGGCGATCTCTTTCCATAGTTGATTCACATCTGATAGTGGAGCATCTGGAAGAAACCCCGTAGACAATGCGGATTAATTTGTCTAACTTCCACATCTGCCAGTCTCGGTTGCGAAGTGACTGCCGTTGAGCGCATGGTTGGAATCCACATATATGTCCAAAAACGAGTGGCAGTCAGACCTTGATCCATGCCTTCGGTTCGTAGCCGTTTGAGGACACCACGAGGCTAGACCACTTCGGTTATTTCAGAAGTTAGTACTGCATAAAAACAGTCTGCTGTCAGCACAAAGTTGAAGCAATCGTTCGCCATTGTCCGTACATCTCGTACACCCTACCTGATTGTGTTCCTGATGCGCTAAGCTTGCCCGCTTGTGCATTTCTGCCTCCGGCAACGACGATATATGAGCTCCTACCTCACCAGAATGTCGTAAAATTGTCAGAACTACAGTCGGCTGGGTCGTAAGTAGACAGGACAGACATCGACCAAATCCTCACCTGTGAGACTCCTTCATTGATGTTGCCAGACGAACCGCACAGAAACTATCACCAGTGGGTATCTATTTAAGCAAGGATCCTTTTGCTCGGTGACTTAGGATGATATCAGCCCATGCATATCCTGTTGCATTGGCCTTGTTGCAGTCCTTATTTCTGATGCACAACACACCAATGTCAAGCGAGTCCAGTAGTACAGCAAGAGCAGCTTATTGCCCTGCTTGCTTCAGAGTGCGAACATTCAAAGCACCCAGATAGACTAAGTGTCGAGGCTTTAAGGCTGATTTCGAGCTGCCTGAGGATGTCAGTGCCGGATGATGCACAGATATTGCCGCGAAAACCGATGCTAGACGAACGGAGTCATCAGTCCTAGCTGGTGGGCCTATAAAGAGAGTTGTCAATGGGATGGGCGGACTTAGTAGTAGAAAGAAGGGGGGCAATGCAAGAAGCTGAACTATCGGAGGATGATGACCGTATGTCGTGTCTAGATGTAGGCTAATCATGCTGTTGATCAGCCTTTCACGGCCAACCCGTATGGTATCCAGCAAGGTCGGATTTAGCACACTGCCGGTGGTTCTCAACGGGTATAAGTTTGTTGTACAGTGCGCCTCAGCCTTTCAGCATAAACGTACTTCACTTATGGACTGAAAAGTGCATTAACACTTTCGGATCCCCACTTTTCACGAATGGTTTTTGGTGTATGGTAGGGAACATCTGTTCAAGATGACCATTCCATGCCATTTACAGAATAATTCTATGTTGGGCAATTTCTGTATAACCAAATTATTTACGGAACCACACTCCGGTTCGTAAACTGTAGACATCTTTTGGATGATAGCTAGTCGTACCGTTTCACCTGTTTCGTGTTGACGAACTTTGCGCAAAGTACCGGTGGACTTACAAATCAATACTCAAACAGCTGACCTCTGTGGATCGATAGCGTGACCTGAGACAGATTTTCCAGGTCCACCATACCGTTTTTGCAGTCTTGTGTGAACAGGCTTGTGATCGTGAATACGTTTTTGAGCCAAGTGCACTATTAAAGTGCGAGTGTGGCTCTATAGGACCATCTTGGCAATAATGAATCAAATCAAATCGCCTGCCTAAGTTGATGCGACTTCGTATGATTTTGGTGTTTATTTCCCGGAATCAGTAACTATTTGCGTGTTAAAGGATTACGCTGCTCGTTGACGTGCAACAATGAACCTGTTCAAATGGGGAACATCACTAAACAGCATAACCTGAAAATCAGCAAGGTGCCTATATGCAGGTGTGAGCGAAACAGAGGTTTCGCCACTGCTTGTCAGGTATGGAAGAGATTACAAGACGCTTGGACGCCGTCGGTGCTACTCGTTTTCTAGCATGAAAACTGCGTTATCCCCACTGCGCCTGGTTGAAGACGCTGCAAGATATAGCTGTTAACCGATGTCAATGGCATTCTAGTTGTTATTTTCTATCCAGATTGCCTAAATGAGGTGTAAGCATCTGGACTGGGTAGCCCCGACGTCAGTCTGGATGAGCTGAGTTCGGCAACTCCAGACAGGGCTAGCCACCCTGTTTGGTTTCAATGTGCTGGTTGCTTTCGACAATGTACAATACGAATCATCTGGCGCCTCCAAACTAGTTCTAATCAGTACACAGGAAAGAGCCGTTCGGTTCACGAGTGAGGAATGTGGCAAATGCTGCAAACTGAAAGCTGGCTTGGTAGTCTGTCATCCAATTCACGACAATGAAAGTGTTGGTACGAACATGGTCGCCCAGTTGGCCTGCGCCGATTTTGCCCTCCTTTTTCCGGCGAAGATTGGCCTGAGTCGATATCACCAGCACGCACACCCCACCCAGCATAATGCAAGTAAGCACAACAGGAGTAATCATCATATGGAGGTCCTGACTAAACCATCGATCAAATAGCGGCCTACTTCTCAGAAGCCGACGACTATAGCGTCTGATTTAAACAAACAATGGGTTGAGCCGTGTCACTCTTCGAATCCTATGCTGACAGTTCGCTTGCTAGTGCTGACATTCTGGCATTTGCCCAAGGGTTACGGTCTGGCATCATGACACGGAGCAAGTCCTGTCGTTTCTGGACCTCTGCGCCTCTGGAAAACTGTATCCCGACGCCATCGTCAGTTAGCCCATCGAATGTCGGTCAATCGAAAGCAGATCCTACGAGCCAACTACACCGCCATCCAGAACCTACACCACCAAAGACGGAAAGATGCAACGTCTGCTGTGCTCGATGGGTCATGAAAGGATCCGTACGAAGGCAACTGCAGTCCATCCCTGGACGCCGAACAGTATTGGAAACAGGTTTTCTCAGCTCCGGGACGCGTGGATAGCCGGCGAAGTCGCGTAGTAATACCATCCGATTGGAGTTTGATCGAGCCAATCACAGGAGAGGAAGTCGGCCGTACGATCCGTGTTACGGGCTATTCGTCCCAAGGCCTGGACAATGTCACGCTCAGGATGCTCCACCGGTTCAATGCTAATGCGCTCTCTGGGTATTTCAACGTACTCTTATTATATGGGGAATTGTCCCCCACATCTGTGCCATGCTCGTATTATCCTAGTCCCATAGGTCCCGAATCCGACTTATCGGATCAACTGAGGCCGATCTACGTGTGATCCATTCATGCTGGTCTCTGGAACTGTAGATTGCAACTGCATTTGTGTATCGAGACGTTTGCTTGGAAGCTACATCGCTGTTACATACCCTGCTTCGTCACTCTTCAGTGACTGCTTCTAACCTCAGCTTGGCGTTTGATGGTATCTCGAAAGCGTTTGATTCGGTCTCCCATGACACAATCGTCAGATCTGCCGAGGCGTTTGGAGCACCGTCATCTCTAGTTCGATACATCTCACAGTCCTATGAGAATGCTGTAGTAGTTTTCCCCAATTCCTGAGCTCTGCCACAGAGACAAGGAGATCCACTTTCCCCATTATTGTCCATCGTGGAAATGGATGAGGTTCTTTGATTGTTGATGCCGCAACTAGTATACCAGTTCCATGACACCCTAGTAGATGCTTTTACCTTTGCTGACGACTGGGTCGTGTGTGCAGAAAGTCAGGTTCACTTTGAAGGGAAGCTTGAAGCTGCCCCGGTCGAGTTGGGAAGAGATGATATGAAGACAAACGCCTGAAAGACGAAAGCGATGGTGATTTGTGGGGACATGAAACATCAGGTAACAGCAGTCTCTGTAGAACCATTTCGCTTCACCAAGGAACTCATCACTCCTCTGAGTCCGTAAGACACCGTAACATATTCGGGCATTCCCTTTATTTCCAAGGGGAAAGGGGTCTTTAACCACCGGCAGCACCTGTTCAAACTGCTCGATGAGGTAAAGCGTGCCCCGTTGTAGCCGCATCAAATAATGGAGGTCACGAGGAACTACCAGATAACGAGGCTGACATATTCGCTATTGATCGACCAAGTCCACCGAAACACACTAGGAAGGTTGGATAACTACCTCAGGCAATCTATTCGTGGCTAGCTACGTCCATTGAAGGACACCCCGATCACCTACATCCACGCCTGTAAACAACATGGGAGACTTGGTATCCCAAGTCTGAGTGCAACAGTCTCGGTGCAGCGGAGAGCGTGTATGGAAAAGCTCCTTTCTAGCCAGTGTTGAGTACTACGCTATGTGGTCAACGATTTCGCATTTGCTTGAGTTGTTCGGGGTCTCACCCTTCCGACCCGAGTCCATGGTGCGTGCCTAAACACCAAGGAAGAGCTGGTGGCTGCTCGGTGTGATAGTCTGCACAACAGCGTTGACGGTCGTCGTTTACGAGGTTTGGTCCCTTCGCCACTTTTGAATCGATGGCTTGTGTTTCCAGAACGAATGTTTCCTCGGATAGTTATCCTTGGTATCTAGCTCTGATGCAACCTGCTTAGGAGGAGTTAAAAGTGTTTGGCATGGCCATGGTGGCCAGACGATTTCTTGTCGTGAAAACTGTGGCCAACCAGAGAGTTTGGTGTATATTTTGCAATCCTACCGGACCACGCATGATGCTAGATGTGCTCGTCATAATCGGGTTGCAAGGGAGTTCACAAAAAGTCTCCGCCGCCTGGGATACACCGTCTCTGAGGAGTTGGGAGCACATACTTCGACATCCTTCATCAAGCCTGACTAATCGCTGTTCGGGAGTGTCGAGGAACTGTGAGAAACGCAAACATAGTCTCGGATGGGCGCGAAGTGGCTTTGTGGAATGAGAAGAAGCAGAGGTATGGTGCTGATGAATATTTCCTCGCCATAATCTCAGTCCTACGTGCAATTGGTTGTGATGTCGACCCTTTAGTCCACCAACCGATGATCATTTCTTATCGAGGGATCTGCTTTCCTCAATCTGCCAAGGCTGTTATTGGACTGGGATTCCCTAAGGTCACAGTCAGTGACTGGTGCCATTGTGGACTCTGCGTACTTACGACAACTTTATGCGTGGTACATGGCGTTGAGTGTACATTCTTGCCATTGAATCTCACACCAGACTCAGTATGACGGGTATTGTGCATGATGTGCGAGACTTGACTGTGCTGGCGCTTACCGCGCCTTGAAGAGCATTCAGGATTGTCCTTTCCTCGGTTGTTGGTCTGTACACGCGTGTTTCCATACCAAACATTCTTACATACGTTAGGATTCATCTTGTCTGACGATAACTGTTGTTGGCATGACTTCGAACGAGACGCTTCTTTTTTTAACTAATATTCTCCTGTAACCCCTCCACATTCATCGCCTGTCCGATAAAGGACAAAACCGAGAGTGAGCTGTAGAATTTTCGGTCGTCTTATCAGTAGTGTGTCCTACCGAGAGGACATTGTGTTTGAAGTGGTTTGGCACATTATTGAAGGCATCATACCACAAAGCACAATAGATTGGCACACTGCTGCACCGATGTTTGGACAACCGGGAAATTTCGGGAGTTTAGGAGCTTCATTCACTTCATATTAATCTGTCTGGTCTAGACGTTTTCTTTACACGGGACGATTGTATGTATCTTTGAGCAAGCGAAATGTCTTTCCCATATCAACAATAACTATCTGGTCCGAATAAATTAATCAACCGGTTGGCATTAGTGTCGGCGTTAAATAACTTCTTGCATGGCATGTGCACAATTTATCCAGATTATTCAACCACTTTGAAGGCTTCTATGGGGATCGAAGTAATAATCGATCACATGGTCCGCTGATCGGCCACCTGGGTCGATATACTGATTATGAATAGCACGATATTCAACAGGTTTCAGTTTACAGATAATCCCTTCTCTCCAGTTATACTCCCTTTCAAGTAACACTCCGAAAAGATAGTCGTATCCGGTAGACTTACAATTCGATTTACAATCTCCCAAGTCCAAAGTGAATCACGCTGAATGGGCTGTATCGACCCATTTTAGTTTGTCTAAGTTTCCCTCAACCATCAATCTATGTAACTTTTTAAAATGTTCCGATAAATTTCTCAATGTGGTCCGACGAGAATCTTACTGTGGGTCATCAGAAATGCAGAAGTGACTAGACCTCATGTTAAGCTGTTCTGAAGGGTGCGCAATGCTTTGGGTGGCATCGTGAAGACCGATCAGTACTTGAAACATCTTGCCATAGATTCATCTTTGGTTTTCTTCCGAGACATCTCGCGAAAAGTGCCCGCACATCTCAACATGAAAAAATAAATAGTTTTTGTACGACCGCTGCCTATCTCTACCGCTCTCTCTCTCCAGAATCACTTCACGACCAAGAACCACCTTCTAAACGGCGACTTGTAGCTAGTCGACTGTCTGAGGATTCTAACAATTCGTCAGAATACAAGCCTTCAATGTCCCGTAAGCACTCAGACAGTTCTTCACACCTATCGGTTTGCGATAAAGAGTTGGAGACTCTAAATGAACGGGCGGCAGCCAAACACGTACATCCTACCGAATCGAGCACATCGGATTCGGCCAGTTCTCAGGCGTCTGTTTCCAGCTCTCGTGACAGTGGAGAGTCTTGCGACTGCATTGTCCATCAAGTGAGTTCCCATTTTGTCTTGTTAACATATTTTCCAGTTTGCTTCTTCCCCATGAATTACTTAGTATCGTTAGGTGTCCAACTCAAGCTTGACGCTTGTAGCCGACCAGTTTTACCACCTTCAGTGCACAATCATCTCTTGAACTGTTGGTGCTGATCCAGCCGGATAAAGTGATCGTTGTTCACAATACAAGAAACTAACCTCACTTCTCGGGAGCCTTCGGTCTGATCGCAGAGTTTCCCACAAAATCTGAAGTCATCAAAGGCTACTGAACTTCATCTGTCCTAGCTAATAATCCTATCTGAAATGGATGTAGTATGCACGGGGCAGCGATTTTTTTTGACGAACACATCTATCTCACGAAGTAGGCTGCGAATGAGTTCATTCAGCATGTAAGCGTATAAAGAGTGGTGGACACAAGGGTTAGAATTCTACCAGGTGGGGTCGGTTGCGTCATTGTTTTGGTTCATTTCGGTCATCCGTCTCAGCATTTGCCTTACTCTGGACCCAATACAGTCCATACAAGCAAGAAAATGGTTATCCTGTGACTCGATGGTCCGCTTTTTGCTCTGCACCCCTAGCCTCGACTGTCGAAACAGTTCTCAGCACACAACTAGCTTGATACATACCAGGGTTGTCGTGCGATCGGTCTCCTTCTCCATACCGGTTGATCGGTATTCAGTATCGTGAAAACCAAAAGCCGAAGAGCTCTTGGCTCCCGTTTGGATACAGCTTCTCCGATCCATTTAATTCACAATTCCGATGTTACGTTTTCCGCATATCCCTTGACACTCACACGTCATCTTTTTGACAGGTGTTCTTTGGAGATTTGGAATCTGTCATATCCTATGAAGGCTGTGGACATAGTTCATCCACGGTTGATCCTTTCCTGGACCTCTCACTGGATGTGATTCAGCGTGGATCCACCTCACTTCAGGCCTGCCTGACCTCTTACTTTCGCCCAGAATCAATTGATGGACTTATCTTGTGTTCACAGTGCAACGTGGGTCGGCCAGCAGTCAAGCAGTTCAGCCTTCTCCACCTACCCAATGTACTCTGTTTCTACTTGAAAGTAAGACTTATGGCAGTTATACCAACAACAAACCCTATACTCTCTCGAACAATGATCGCTTGTCAAAGGATGTATTACTGTCGCTAGGTTTGGACCAAACCTATCACCCACGACGAAAACTAAGTGACTTGTGGTCTAACCAGTTCGTATATCAGTTAGTGTTCGTTGTCCGAACGAAAGCATGCTACCTTCACGATGTTTGTGTTTTGGATCTTTTGCGCGCTTGAAAATGTACAATGTGAACATGTGCTGAACAAACCAACGTGGTGGTTTTGCTTGTATTATTGGCAACGCTATGTTCCGCTGGCTGTTGTGATAGGGTGCTCCCAATTTATCCGTAGTCAATGCGCACTGATGAATAAGACTGAGGCGAGTTCATCTTTCACACAAACCTGTTTTGGAGACAACAATAGAAGTATCGCATATACAGCCTAATCCCACACTGATGTTCTCTCCCGCTAGTTTTACGGTCGGTCATCAATGTTTGCTCTTGACACTTCCCGTGTTACACACCAACATGTCTGTTGTCTTATCATGTTTGCATGCCGCATATCCCCATAATATTCGACTCCTATGAGAAGAGCTTATGGACAACCTAAGAATCCAAACTCTGTTTTTACGGCACCGTTTTCACTCATTTCAGCGCTGTCATCACGATACGAAGATCAACACATCAATCACATTTCCGGCAGATTTGGATCTGGCCCCTTACCTACATCAGGTTGATGGGGATCGTTCAGCCTGGTCCGATCGGTAAGTGCACTTTCTCCTGACTCCACTGAACTAACCAAAAGAAAGACCTTGCTCGTTCGCTCGAAAAGGTAGTCACCGTTCCCTCATAACTGTCGACGTGTTGACCATGCTCAGAGTAGGATTGCACTAAACTGTTCAATTCATAAGGTCGTCTAGGACACCTAGATCTCATACTTATGCTAATACGTTCGCTGAGGCCTGCTGTGTACGAGAACTCATAGAGACATGGAGAGGTGGCGAATCCTCAACGATTGTCTTTGTACAGGACAGACCGTGCAACGACCAATTTGCATTGGTATTTCGGTGAGCTTACCTCTTATGCTACCTTTTGATGGTAGCCGAGGCCGTAGTCACCGATCTCTAAAATCGGTCGGTGCACTTTCAGTTACTCGGTCGAATAGCACCTATTTGTTCACGCCCGTTCTAGGGCATGGCCTTAGGCAGTCGATCGAATAGCAGATTGTTACTGGCTATCGAACGAGTCTTTTGGGTTCTCATTTGAGGTGTTCTTTCGTCAAAATTGCGTGCGCCTGTAAAAAGCCTTTGATACACTCTAGACCTGTACCTAACACGAGAAACATAGTGCAGGCGCATCCATTTTCAACAAGCCTCAAGTGGAATATGAACACTATGGTATGAGTATGTCTCAAAGTGGAACGCTTTTCAAATCAGTTACAAGCACTAATTTCCGCAATCACCTCGCAGCGTATACTCGAGCAACTATGATAGAGTTTCAATAAAGTTACTTTTCTCCACTTTCTGTTGAACTCCATGATTCTCTTATTGAATTCCACTCACTAGCACAGACTGGAGTGCAGAGCCACCTGAGATGATAGCCATAATAAGTGAAATTCTTGGTTCCTGGTTATATATTGATGTTCAATTCATAGCAGATATTTACACCACAAGAACTAACATTCAGGAATAGACTGACAACTATCGGGTTCGTTTTTACACTGCAAGATTTGTCACACGCCCATTGGTCTAAGGACTTGTTTCTGTGATGACTACTCTTGATAATCGAAACATCGTATATTTCCCTTAGTGTACAGTGAGCACTTTCTGCGCATGGCATTCCAACTCCTGCATATCTTCCACACCAGGCTAAAAAACCTTTTTGGGAACAATCACCACTGCACATCTCACAAACCTTCAGGGAGATTGAACCGCGCAATCTCCCGGATAATGGTTGAAGACTAGACCATCTAGTAACACAGACAGGATACAAGGTCACTCATCCTTCAATTACGAAACTCACATCACATGTGCACTTATTAACTCGTTCCTCGAGTGATGACGTCTCAGACGGAAAAAATCAATGGTCGTGCGAGGGAAGAGTAATTGCATTCCAAAACATATGGACATCACAACTATTTTAACAAAACCAGTCATAGTCCAAAGGTAACCTGTTTTAATCATCGTCCTTTCAAGGGGGAGCTAACTGCAGAGCTCCTTACTTGGTTGGCTTACAGCTACTCAGCTGAGGTCTCTACGACAGTTATGCAAAAGAATAAAGGGTATAACCCGTTTTTACTGACCGGATCCAAGGGATCTATTACCAACGCAGTGACTACTCACTTGACTGTTTAATCCTAAGACCGCATCTGGGGTTCTACACCAAGCACTCATTTGTGTGCAAAGATTCGTTCACTATCAATGCCTGGCCACAGATGAGGCGGTCACGATTCGACCGTGCAACTCAATTCTGTGTTCGCAGAAGGCCTTCTTCCGCGTACTGAAACTTCCGTGATCTGTAAACGTGCCAGTCGATATAATGCAGAAGCGGCTCTGGTAAAAAGATCCCAAAATAAAATGTCCAGCCACCCAGGGCAGATTCTTCCATCCATAATACGTGCAAACAGACTTAGGTTTCTAGATCCTTTCACATCCGTTTTTCAATATCAATTTCCTTGTTACGCGTTTGTGACTGAAGGCTGTGCAAATGATAATATCCAATCAGCTTCGTTTTTTTGTGATTCTTGTTCAAACATAAGCATTCAATACTTACATGCCAATCATAAATGTTATTCGACAGTGCGATAGCGGCTTGTCTGAATAATAGAAGAATAATCGTTCAGCTGTAACACTTTCGGTACTCGGCTGCCATGCCACGTGAAGGAAGTATGAGGGATGAGGTACCGCCAGGTTGCCCAAGCCTAAACATGAATAGTTGGGATGCCGGGGATTGATTCGAACCACGGACTACCCGGTTGGTAATTTCGTGCCTTAACTACTGAGTTGTCTTGGTCTATTGTATGGATAGTTTCTCCTGTATACTCTAGGGTTTTGCGCTGTGGTACATCACGTGAGAAAAAGACTTACTCACCTGTACGTCCGGTGCGAACAACCTTGAAGGCTCCGTACGGGTGACTATTTGTTATATGTTGTTTCGCCACACTACGGTCAAGTTATGTAAGGCACTCAGAGAACCGGAAGAGAGACAGGGGTAAGAAATTTGTGTCTCTGTAGGTCTTTGGGCACAAAGCTCACTTTTGCCCCTAAGAGGGTCACTCCCCTAGCTATCAACTACCCTACCTGTTTATACCGGTCCCAGTTTTCTTTTTAAACTTCAGGTTGTTAGCTTTAGCATTATGCGACTATCCAATTGTAGTCAACCTAAACAGGAGCTATTGTTGACTTGTTTGTGCTGCAATTACATCGGACACCAAACCTTATCTGTCCCCACAATCTTCTCTCTCCCTGAAGGTATTCCTTGTATGCCGTACTCAATCACAGTGGACAAACCAACTCAGGTCACTACACCGCCTACATTCGCTCGGGACCCGGTTCATGGTGTCTATGTGATGACCAGAAAATAGTCTCAGTTAGTCTTGAACACGTATTGCAAACCGATGCCTACGTGCTCCTTTATCACAAAAATTTACTGGCCATGCGAACTTAATTTTACTCTGTTGTCATCCACTCAACCCTGCTGCAGTATTCGTGCCAAGCAACTGTTGCACCTCTCTTGCATTTCTTCCAATCAGTCATCCTCGTATTTTCTGGTAAATACGTCCCCGCAGCGTGTGTGTGTGTTTGTCTAGTTCACCCGATGACTGGCCTGTTTTTTCTTCATTAGTCTATCTCGTGTATAGAACAAACTTCTTAAACCCTGGGGCTTTCAATTTCACATCTCGTTCGAGACCAGCTCACTGAACTATCGGTCGGTTATCTCGTATCCTCGCGATAGCATTGTCACTACCTACCCCATTCCCGACACACACACACACAGACAGGCACGTGATCATCACACGACGACTTCAAAGTGATGAGGTTTGTCTTTTTCAAACATGCCCTTCCGTGCAGTCCTGTAATTTACAATCAGTCGGTAGGTGTTTACTTCTGCTCTCATTTGTACAACAAACATGTGTCAACCAGTCTCTTTCTCTTTAAATCAACTGAGGCACTGCTATTCGTCTTAGGCTTATCTATGGCGGAAGATTGATTTCGGTTTTCGGGAGAATGTTTCAGTTGCCGTTGGGGTCTTTTGGAATTCGGATCTTCCTTGTGAATATAAATGTAGGCTATCGGCGTCCGTTTCACGTACATTTTTCCGTCTAGCGAAGTACAATCCGGAGAAAAAAGATACCTTCCCCGCGACCCTCAGACTGGAATGCATGAGTAGTCCACTGGAAGTAGCACTGATAGTGGCTGGTCTGGGCATCGTTTGTGGGGATACATTTTTCCGGGTTATACGCATAAAGCTGGACTAACTGTAAAAGTGACTAGCCCAAAAGTGAACTACCTTAGAGGCGCTGGTACGAATATCCAATCAGGTTAGACAAGAGTCGTCCATGACTTCGTTCGTCCAGTCTTCTCTGATAATCCACAAAGTAGATTGAAACTTGGTTTGACGCTGTAACGCGAGCAGTCGTCACAAAAGTAATCACTTGGAATGAAATGAGTATTTTTGACGCTTTGGATGATGCCAAGTCGCTATCGTGTGGTTGTGGTCATCGTAGACCTCCGAAAACGATTGCGATTAATCGGCCAAATAAAGTGTGACTGAATTGGCCAGAGTCCTATTCACACAATTTATTGCTGCAGAACAAAACATTCAATAACGCTCCTTCATGCTGTTACTCGAGAATCTTTTGTTTGGAGGAAGGCATTTAGCTGATTGAGACACCTCATACTTTTGCCAAAAGATCAACAGTCTGGTCTCGTGGTAAAGACATCCAACACGCTATGCGTAGGTAATGGGTTTAGGTACACACTTACGGGGCTATCCATGTTTTCCATCTTAAATTCACTCCTTGGGGATGGCATTGAATGAGGTTTAGCGAGTAGATGGTACATCCCACTGGAAACTAGTCCCAGAATTTGAAAAAATATTACGTTGATCCAGAACACCAAAAAAGTAAAACGTGGGTGTGGCAATGTTTTTGGGATCATTGGCCATTTCACATTTAAACCTTGTTAGTCACTTTGCCTTTGAGAATATCTCAGGCAAACATATTGAGGTTGTCTCTTCGAATTCATTATTCTCTAGCCATTTGGACGATTAAGTCGATGTTTAGTGATCCAAGATAACTACCCACAACCCGGATGAACGACCACTCAAAGTTTTCAGATAGTCTCTGTTTTAATCTCCAAGATATCCAAGTAATAATGACTGAGGCATATGAATAGCGACAGTCCTTGAACAAGTCATAGGAGTTCATCAAGGTGATAAGTCCACACACAACAAGCCCACGGTGTTGTATGAGTAAAACCTGTCCTTTTGAGTCAACACCCTATAGTCGCTAGGTTAGAAATCACTGAAACAAAAATCCAGGGTCATTCCCAGCTCACATCTAGCCGACCGGTGGTCAGAGAGCTAGACGCCTTTTTCGAATTGCACAAATTACAATCACCGGGTCAGCAGTTCACTCTTCAGCACTCGAACACTCAGTTCGTCCACTCGCAGTCCACGCAGTGTTCACACATCTTAGCACGTTCCCTGAAAGTTCATGTTAAGAGAGCCAGGATACGGAGCCATTCGTCGTCCGACCAGCAGGAGAGCGTGCGGCAACTGACGCTCTGATCGTTTGGAAGTCGGGACTCAACGAAACTTCACTATTTTTTTAATCAGTCTCTCCCGACCGTATGATTTTAACGTAAGTCGCTCCAAGGGACATAAACGTTGCGTTATGTGAAAACTGACTCTGTCGCAATTCTAAACAGGACTCCAGTGTAAACTATGTATCTATGTAAACCTTCAGTGTGGGCTTTGAGGACCGATAGGGGCACATTTTCATCTTCCAAGAAGCCTCCAGACCTAAATGTAGTATTTCCTTCGGAGGGCTTGTGAATTCCGAACTGGCCAAGATCGCCCCCCCCCCCCCCATCTCGGAAACGCTTTCTCTTGGGGGCATTTGTGTGACATTTTTCCGCATAGATGGGGTAGACATCAGCTTACATGGAGAAAAAATACACGAAAAAGTTGTTGGCTGGACGTAACACGCTATTCATAAGGTTGCTGAAAACTCTTTGATACCCAGCGACCGGTTTCTCCCTTGTAGGGTATCGAAGAGTTTTCTGCAACCTTATGAGTAGTCTGTTACGTCTAGACAACAAAGTATTGCGATATCCCTAATGTTGTACAAACTGAAACGTGAGGCGGCCTGGTGCAACACATCAGTTCAAGCGAACCACTATAAACGAGAGAGTATCCTGTCCAAACTAACTGTGCAAATGATAGTATTTATCGACACCAAAGAGTTGTTCGTTTAATTCACCAAGAAATAGATATTCTCACCGAGTAGCAGAACAATAGCTTTTGTTTAATGAGTCTGTCGTTTGGTTGACTTCCACAGCAAGCCGCTATTCAATCTCCGGCCTTGTGGACTAGCCGTTCATTTGGTGCTGATTGAGAAAGCATCCCAAGGCCGCTTGACCGGGGAAGGGGAGCATGTCTAAACTGGTTCAGTTCAACAATGTCCGTGAATTGCGATATTTCGTCAAACAGGAGACAATCTATTTTACACTTTTGCGCATGTACAGTGTTAGTTCCCCGAGTTGTGATTCCTGTCGCCAGAATGTTTCAACTATGGAAGCTTTGCTCTAAATTGTGTATTGTTGCAATAGCACTGATGGAATTATTGACATGCAGATCACCGACATGTGAATAGACACCCATTATTATCATCGCAGCTGTACAGCCGAATTCTTAGTTTCGAACATGTTATTATATGTAAATGGAGGTACTTTTCAACCAGTATCCAAGGTGCTCTGCTCTTGAAAGCACCTCTATTTGGAAGTAGTCTATTTGTCGCAATGCAAATAAGTTTGAGACCGAGCATTTCGTGCCAGTTTTGGTTTCGGGGAGGGAGACAGCAGTGTAGACTAACAACTTTGGTGGCTTATACAAAACCAACCTGTTAGATCGTTCTTCATAGCAAGACAAACCACTGAACAGTCAGTACATTTCGGTGACTCGTTCCGTTTGCAATAGCCATCCATTCCTTGCTCTCGAAATCTCATGAAAAATAGACAGCTTGATAGACAATCTAGGGGTTTACTCTTTGTCGGTATCCGTTCGTCCAGGCAAAGCGGAACTTTAGTGTTCGAAATCGATAGATGAGGTGGTAAACAACATTTTAGAATACATTCTACCATTTAAAATTGTTTTTTCCTTGTACAGGTTTGAATAATACACAGAACACGTTAGTTTTGGTCGCCGATAGTGGATTGTGAAGTGAGATTTACTTGATGGCCTGAACGAGCAGGTGTCTGGCTATATAGAACTAATGTTTTCCGTCCTTAATCCGATCCGGTATGTTGATGACCAATTTCACACTCAAATAGGCACGTGCTCTCTCATTCCACTGGTGAGAAACCTATCGATTTTGTCAATTCAGTTTGCTCCGCCCTTGCGTACAAATTAGTATACACAGTGTGTTTTGGCCCAAATAGGTTGATTGAGCGTAGCGGTTACCCACGAGTCCGGTTGGCAACGTGTAGCTATGTCGTATTGAACGTCCACTTTAGTGTCGCCTCTGGGTCTCTTTGAAAAGGACCCCCCATACAGATAGACTTAGGTTCGGTCTCACGCTTGCTGGGTTTAACTCCTTCAGAGCATGGCTCAATGAAACGCGGAGGATGGCTGTTTTGTTCGGGTAGTCCCAAATCTTCGGCAACGTAATCCAGTGTCGAGATCCGGCGTGCTCCTATAAAGGATGTTTTTACCATGTTCAGTTTGTATACAGAAGGAGTGAAGCTACAGACCTGACCGTAAAGGTTTCTGTAGAGGATATGCTTGAGAATGTTGTGGGTGCGCTGCAAACGTTTCCTCACCAATCGAGGTGACATTGTCAGTGCAGGGTTGACTGACGATGTCACATCGATTGATGATGAAACGTTTGCAATCCAACTGCCAAGTTCGGTGAACAGACCAACAACCAGATATGCTTAAGAGTCGGTCAACTCTACCTGTAATCGAGATCTCCAGAAATGACAGGCATTCATGTTGTTTCTCAAATTTGTTTTCCAGGAGGATTTGAGTGAGCGCTATTCATAATTTAAATGAACTGGCGAATATGTTACATGTCTGTTTATCACCTGAATATTACCTACTTATTGCCGAAAAACTCAGTGAGGTAGTCAACAGTGAGCTAACTATCGTTGCGTGGTCAATTTATTGATGATGTGGATTCAAGAAATTGTAAGTGACATTCTCCGTGCATAAAAGTAGTCGTTTTTTCTAGAAAATGTAGGAATGAGGAGTATTTCGTACAGAGGAAATGGTGCGAAATGCGTACATCTACCGCATTCTCATTGTAATCTCGTATTCGGCGTCCAGTTCAACCACATAACAAGAGATCATATCACCCAGTGTACAGCAAAGATTTCAGGCGACAGCCGCTGACTCGTGCCAGTTGCTACTCACCGAGTTGTTGTGAAGAAACGTGCAAAGGAATCACTAAAGTAAATGAGCAGATTTTCTGCATGATAATCACTCGAGGTATATTTCAGTACAAAACTATCTAGAGAATTTTGGGGCCTTCGAAATGGAATAGAAAATGTCCACGTTTTTTGTTCACCGAATTCCTTTTCCCATGTTCTGTCCTGTGAAAACTTTTATTATGGTGATCGGCATCCTAACGAAGTAGATCGAGGATTCACAAATAGGCGTGTTCCTTGATGTTAGGCGGAGATTTTGAAATTTCAACTGGTGGTTGATTGTGGGACAGAAAAGCCGAGTAGCACCGTACATATGTTTCATCCACGTTGGGAATCATCAACGGCATGCATCTCACGAATTTCTAGGGAGATTCGTACTCGCGACCTCTCGTTTCTCAGTAGTAGGTCATACCGTCTCTTTAAGGGGGATTGCAAATCTGTGTTCTTCATGGGGGCATGTTATCCGTAGGGCGGGTGTCTTTCCTGTGGAG